GATAGTTAACTTTAATGTCCGATAGTTAACTTTAATGTCCGATAGTTAACTTTAATGTCCGATAGTTAACTTTAATGTCCGATAGTTAACTTTAATGTCCGATAGTTAACTTTAATGTCCGATAGTTAACTTTAATGTCCAATAGTTAACTTTAATGTCCAATAGTTAACTTTAATGTCTGATAGTTAAGTTTATCGCTAATATTGGCCAATACCATGCCGATAATATCGTGTATCCCTAGATTTAGGTCAGAATCGGGAATCGGATGACTTCTGTCTGGTTTCTTTGTTTGGCTTATGTCTTAAACTAAACATTAAATCAAAACCTAAAGATTAGATTTTGGTCCTAACTAAAACATTGTTTTCTTAAACTTAACATGTGAATGTTTGTTTTAATTGCCATAAAGCAGATGTTTAATATTAAAGCTGCTGACTAATGATTAATTATCAGTTTTATTCGTGGCACATCGTGCTGTGGCAGTCGCTCGAAAAGTCCCCCTGGAAGATGCACTGACTTGACCCACAGTGGAGTAGATAATCACACGCTCTCGGCCTCGAAGCTCTATAATTTATTGACAGAACAACAAGTGTGAACTGCTTATTATGTCATGGACAGGTATGCAGTGGAACAGAGAAGAGCTGTGTCGAGATTAAACCAAATCTGACACCTCGTTGTTTAACGTTGTGCCTTCAACATGCTTACCAACCGTTACAGCATTTTCTATTTTCTCTTTTATGGCACAGTTTTAATTTTGCAATCAAAGCCACATAAAATAGCTTGCAAAGTTTTCCCTAGACGTTCTCGGTGGATTAACGAACATGGAAGGACGTGAACAGTTTTACAGACATCGAACGGCAGCTTTTAAACTACTTGTGGTTTAACAACTTCTGTTTTTGTACTCTATGCTTTTATATTTGTTTGTGCAACTCCTTACAATAGGTTCCTCAGCTTGGAGGATTTAAAGGGGGAAAGAATAAGTTTCTTGAGTTTGTGACTTTTAAATTTTAGAAGATCAAAGCAGATTTTTCTGTGTTTTTGTCTTTTAGTTCATCTTTTCTCGTCAGCGCTAATAACCGAGGGCTATCGTTCGAAGTTGCTGTGAGGAACAAAAAAGAAAACGCTTACAACACGCAAGTCTCAGCCATGTTCTCCAGCAACCTCTACTACTCATCCGTCTCTCCTGTGAGCAGGAATATTAAACTTTTATGCTTAAACAATACCAGCATAAAAACTAAAAGTCATATTTCAAGCTTAAAATTAGCTTTGAACTTTATGGATGCTATTCTTCCAGGCAGACGCAGTCAAATGCACAGCGACACAAAAAGATACGGTCACTTGTCAAGTTGGTTACCCAGTAATAAAAGAAGATCAAGAGGTAAGGAAAAATTATTTGACTTTGAAGATAAGGACATTTTTATCGAAGGCAAGAGGTGATAATGATTTTGTCCATGTCTGTTTGTATGCAGCGTTACAAATATCTAAATATAAACCAGTGGATAGATTTATCTAAGCTCTCAGAAAGTAATTATTGATGCAACTCATTAATTGTAACCGATAATGAGCTCACATTTTGTGTGGTAGTAGTCGAGAGTCATTCCAAACACATACTTAGCTTTACACTGTGTGTAAATCTTTGCTGAAAACTTTAGGCATCAACAATGTCTGTTAGCAAAATATATCGTGTGGTAGTAGCTGCGAGTCATCCTCAACACATTCTCTGAGTGCGTTATGCATAATGTCAACTTACTGTACGAGGTTTGAACTGCATGACTAAAATTGCACCACTTCTCAGTAAATGATGATCTTAGTTTAGAACGCTGGCCTGTAAGACGGTGGGCGATATGCATTCATTCACTGAATGCCAGGCTTATAATATTTTTGTTGATTACAAAAAGTAATAAAAACTTTTTTTTGTTTAATTACAGGTGAAATTTCAGATCTTATTTGATTACAGTTTTGATCAGTTGCAAAGCCACGCTGTGGTCGACTTTGAGGCCAAAAGGTACAGAGAATTAATATAAATATTCAGTTACATTGTTCAGCTTTTAAATTTTTATTTTTTTTTCATAAGAAAATGCTGAAAGATTTGTATCGTTTGCAGTGATGGCAGAGAAGAAAACCCTGCAGACAACGATAAACACGTATCCATTCCTTTGCAGTATGACACAGGGATCGTGTTGTCTAAGTGAGTTTTATTTATTTATTGTGTGAATGTTTATGAAGCATTGTGATCCATTTTTCTTCCGTACATTTTTCTGCATCTTTCTCATTCCATAAATTTATTTATTTTTTGCTATTTCAACAAATAATAAATCACAACGTTCAGCTCTTTCAGGAGAAGGGTGCTATGACTTTGTGTATTGGTGCAACTTTAGCCTTTTGAAATATTTAGCCTTTTCTGACACTTTTTTTCTCATAGAAAATGAATTGAGTTCATTTTACATCCTTCAAATCTTGAGATCTGTTTACAACCTTTCACTGCTCCTTTCACATTTTGTTCTGGTTCGGCTTCTTTCAGCTTCCTTGGGCAAATTTAACCATTTTTCCTGCTACTTTAATCTAATTTCAGCTCTTTTTCATCTGTTTCCTTTCAGGTTCTTTCTGATAATTACAATATTTTTTTGCTTCTTCTTACTTCTTTGTGCTAATTTCAGCTGGTTACACTCCTTTCAACTTACTTCTGCAAGTTTCAGATTTTTCTACTATTTCAGCTACTATTGAGCTATTTTTATGCTAATTTAAGCCTTTTCAGCTAATTCCACATTTTTTTGCACGTATTTAAACTTTTTTCAGCCTAATGCAGCAAAAATGTGCTCTCTCCACTTAATTCCGGTCATTTAAGTTTCTGCTTTTGTAGCTATTTTTCAGCTGTTTTTTGTTTTTTGCTAATTTCAGCTTTTTTCAGACAATTTCCACTTTTTTGTTCACAATGCTGCTTTTTTCAGCAAACATAGTTTTTCTGCTTTCTTCTGCTAATTTAAGCTTGTTCTACCCTTTCAGCTACCTTTTCTTGCCATTTTAGCTAATTTCAGCTGTTTTCAGATAAATTCAAGTTTTACATGGTAATTTCTGCTACTTTCAGCCTAATTAACTTCTTTCTGCTAATTTCAGATTATTATGCTCCTTTCAGCTTTTTTCTGCTAGTTTAGCTTTATCTGCTATTGCAGCTACATTCAGCTGTTTTTGTGCTAAATTGAGCTTTTCCAGCTAATTCCATGTTGTTGTTTTTTAGCTAATTTCAGCTCATTCCACTTCCTGGCCTCTCTTGTTCCAGCTTTCTCCTTCTCATTCCCAGTACAAAGAAAGCTTTGTAGTAGTTTAAGCTTCTTTCTGCCTTTTCAGATATTTTTCAGCCCCCCCCCCCCCCCCACACACACACACACACACGTTTGTTGTTGCTAATTTCAGCTTTTTTAGCTAATTTCCTAATTTTTTGTACTTATTTTAGCTTATTGAAACCAAATTCAGCAAATATGTGTTCTTTCTGCGTTGTTCTGCTAACTTAGGCTTGTTCTTCCATTTCAGCTATATTTAGCTATTTCAGCTGTTTCGCAGCTAGTTCTTCAACAATAAGCATTCACACTGCATTTTCACAGGAAATGTAATTTCTCTCATTGATTTTGTTTCAGTCTCCCAGTAATGATAGTCTCAAAAGATGAAAACAACTGTATGTCAGTTTTAACTCTGTCTCCTCTTTGCTTTGCAGGGAGTCAAACATCAATTTTTATGTGGCAAATATGTCCAGTCATGTGGTAACAACAGTGAAAACTCTGGATGACATCGGTCCAGAGTTTAACTTTACAGTCAAGGTGATGAATCAACTCCATCTCTTAAAATGTCATCATCAGATTCATATTTTGAAATGAATAATTAATGAAAAATGTGTTGAAAGGTTTCAACAGGTAACTTCCCTGTCAGCCTCCTGTATCTGACCATAGCTCTGCCAATGAACACTACAGGTGGAAACCGGCTTCTCTACCTGACCAGTGTGGAAACACAAGCTGTGAGTTTTGCACACGTTGGGTAGTCTGGAGATACGAAGCTACAGAATAATAACGTTGTCCACACACAGGCAGGATCTGTCAGCTGTGACTCCAGTCGTCTAGTCGATCTTCTGCAGATTGGCGACCGGAGCCATGAAGTTTCCTTCAGAGAGGAGAGCCTCAGAGGCTTGGAGAAACTGGTCAGTCCCTGAATCAGTTGCATGCTTTTCTGTTTCATGTGTGTTTTTTCATTTTTATTTTTTACATTCTTTGTGTGTAAAGCGAAAGTCTTGTGATGTTTCCATGGAAAACATAAAATCAAAACCTTTAAATGGCATGAAATGTTTTTTACTTATTTGTATTATGTACATGTTTAATCTGAGAAACAAGGAATTAATTAAAAGCCCTCACCATGAGGTACGGATCATGACAGAATGAGACCTCAGATCCAAGCAGCAGAAATGGACTTCCATTGTAGAGTAATGGAGCTCAGCCTTAGAGATACGGTGGAGATCAGGGTGGAGCTTGGAGTAAAGCCTCTCTGCAGCAAACGAAGTCAACTGAGGTGGCTCAGGCATCGGAGAAGGACGTCTCCTGACGGCGTTGAAAGTTTTCTGGCACATTCGACTGGGAGGAGATCACTGGGCACTCCCTTAACTTGCTGGAGGAATATATTTTCCTCTCTAGCCTGGAAACAGATCCTCCAGGAGGAGCTGGACAGTGTCGCTGGGGAGAGGGATGTTGGGCTTTCCCTTCTGGACCTTTTCGCCTTCGCAGCTCGACCATAGATAAGCAGCAAAATATATATGGATGGACAGATGGATGGATGGATCAACCATACTTTGATGAATTAAAAATGAATGGTGCCCTGTGGCCCAGTTAGTTGGCACTGTTTTCGCACATCAAGACAGTCCTGGGTTCAAAACTCAGACAAAGAAGCTGAAGAGGCCTTTTGAATAAAAAGCGAAACGTCTTCAAGAATCAAGTGAAGACGTCCAGTTGTTGCATTCTGTTGAACTACTCAGGGTTGTCTCGTCCTGGAGGACTGAGAATCATCGCCAACGTATTGTTGAACGGCTCCAAGTGTTTTTAGAGGTCACCAGTTTTCCCAGTCGTCACATGATTTTGAAACAAAGCTTGATTTAAAAATCCTCCAGTAGATTTCAGATCTTCAAAGCCATTTGCTGCTGCTGTTCTTGATGTTTTTATTACAGTCAGAATAAAATTAATGGTTGCCCAATAAGAAAAATAGGGAATATCAAGACTTCCTAAAACACACTTGCACCCATAACTTCATCATTTGACCACTAGGGGGAGGCTAAAACTACTCAAATGTTTTTTCTCACTACTACACTCCTGCTTTTAATGTATTTGAAAAATACTGCAGTAAATATTGTTATCAGCTGCCTCATAGCTGTTGAAAGTTTGTTATTAATGCTGTTTTTAAAATCTGTTTAACTCACAGGATTGTAAAAGTGCAAAATGTGAATACATAAAGTGCATCCTTAAAGACACTGAAGTTAAGAGCAACTACTTGGTGAAAGTTAAAACGAGGATCTGGAGTGGGACACTTGTTACGGTAAATGTACTCACTAATTGAGTTCAAAATTCTTCTCTCATCATCATTTATTCTTTTATGTTACCCTTACGTTATGCACACCCCTGCTTTGTTAGGCCTCCTATCAGTCCATCGAGCTGACCTCCAGTCTGGATGTGGAGACCTCCAACCCAGACCTGCTCATTATTGGCCTCAAGCAGCAAAATGTGAGATCAGATTCATTGGTATCTCAACTAAATGAGGCTAAACCAACAAATGCTATGTTTGAACCTGTCATATCGGAGCCAGAGAGGCTGTGCCATGATGTCCTGTGACTTCTTGTTGTCCAGGTGGTGCTGACGGTCAGTAAACCTGGAGAAAAAGCTGACGTTCCTGTGGGGGTGATAGCTGGCAGTGTCATCGTCGGGCTGCTGCTGTTGGCGGCGGCTGTCGCATTGATGTGGAAGGTAACGTAGTTCAAATATTTGATGAAAATAATAAAGAAGAGCACTGATAATCTGTAATATTTAAAGTTTTACATATACAGAAACCTCTTGACTGGAAAAAAACATGATTTTTGTTCCATCCATCCATCCATTATCTCCCGCTTGTTCCCAAGTCGGGTCGCAGGGGCAGCAGCTTGAGCAGGAAGGCCCAGACTTCTCTTTATCTGCCTGTAGCCGCAATCTCATTCTTACGGTCACTACCCACAGCTCATGACTGTAGGGTAGAAATGCAGACCAGCTGGTAAATAGAGAGCTTTGCCTTACAGCTCAGCTCTCTCTTCACCACAACGGACCGGTACAGAGTCCATAATACTGCAGACGCTGCACCAATCTGTCTGCTCGGTTCTTCCTTCACTCGTGAACAAAACCTCGAGATGAACTCCTCCACTTGAGGCAGAATGATTTTTGTTAAGTAGAAAAAAGTTAATTTATGTGTTTTTTGTTAAAGCCAGATTTCCTCACCGAGCCTGACAGATGTTTTTACTTAATAAACTTTTGGTGCAGATCTGTTACTGATGTCACAATTTGTTTTTCTCTTTTCAGTTTGGGTTTTTCAAGAGAAAGTACCAGCAGCTTCAGAAGGAGGCTGATGAGGATGGACCGAGCCATCCACCCAAAGATGAAGTGCTGTGAAGAAAGAGAGACCCAGCAGCCCTCCATCCATCTCTGATGTATATTTCCAGTATGAATATTGGTGTAAATCAAGCACAAACAGGCTGCTTCTCAGTCACTGGAAATCAGGCACTTTAACAAAACAAGAGCGAGTAAGTTTGGGGATGAGTGAGACTCAATTCTTTATGTTTTACAGTCATTGTCATGTTTGTGCATGGTTTGAGGAACATGCACTGACTTTTAAAAGCATAAAGGTTGTTTTTTTTCTTTCACAATTAAACACTCGTGAACTTTTACTGCATTTTTAGGCCATAAATGAGCTTATTAAACAGTTTCACACTGTAAACACAACAAAAAATACCTTTTTTAAACAAATCCAAGCTGTTAGTCCCAGAAAATGTAAATTCAGTTAAAAAAAAGTTAAACCTGTAATTATAACTAATATATTCACAGTTTGTGTCACAGACTCTCAGGGCTACTTTTACTTTAGAAGTATTAAATTAAAAAAATAGTTATCAGCTAAAAACATAACAATACAGACCTAGAAAGAGCAAAACATGTACATTTTATTTGTTTGTTTGTGTGTTTATTGTATATACTAAAATATCAAATTGTGATCTTTCATATTTTTATTTGAGAAAAATGGAGATGAAACTTTGTGGGTTACATTTATTGATTTTAGTTGTGGTACTTTAAAAAAAAAGTACATATTTTTTAACTTACCTTGCGATAATAGATGACTATTTTTAGAATATTATAATAACGTGCTGAGTATTTGAATCAATCCAACACAGGGGAAAAGCTCAGAAACCAACTCGCCAACTAATTTTATCTGTGATGGTGCCTAATGTTGTGGTCTGTATACTTTGATGTGTTTTCCTTGTTTTTTTAAGTACATTTATCAGTTAGTGAAAGATGATCAGTTGGATGAAATGTGTGTTGTCACAGCTTTGGCACAAGATGGCAGCATTTGTCTTTGTTCTGCTCATTAATGGAATATTGAAGCTGAACAATGTAATTCAGGATTTAGTTGAAATTATCTTGTCCTCTCCTGTTTCTCACTTGAACCCATCTTGTAGGACTCCTGCATGGATCCTTTTTTTTCTTTTCTAATTTCAATATAATTGAGCTTTTCCCTCAAACTTGAATCATTTCCTGTTGGGTGATTCTGTCCCTGGATTGTTTTGGAATGATGTTTCTATCCTTTTTTATTGTTGGCTGTTTCCACCTGACTCTAGCAACCAGCAGTCTTTAGTATTCATTTCTCCAGACCTGGTGAAAAGTGTACTATTTGTCTCTAATAAGTGGAAGCTGGGCCCGAGCCCTCCATGTTGGACGTGGTATAAGAGATTTGATAAATGGTTGAGTTGCTGTTTCACCATTACTCATGCGGTGTTGTGTTGTGAAACAGCTGCTCGGCTGCATAGGTGGACGGGGAGAGATGTTGAAATAGCTGAAATGAGATACAGCAGAAGTTTCTGAGCCTGTTTGGGAGTTCATCCTTGTGGGATTTTCCTTAGATGATTGGCAGGTGCAGCTTTACAACAGACCTACATCGCAGTGGGCTGATTACTCGTTCACTGCTGCAGCGTGCATGTAAATCAAAAAGGATGTCACTGCACCTGACCTTCGTTCGTATGAAATGTTACCTCCATCCGTGTGTGAATTTCTGAGAGGATTTTTATTTAAACTAGTCCCTTCTCTTATGGTAGAACTCCACAGCAGTGCAGCCTAAATGTGGGGGCTTTTTATAGCTCGATTGAACAAAGTGTGTGTTTGCTTCATGCTCTGTTGGAGCCAGATTAGATCTGATGACACGGATTCCTGCTCGTCCCTTTGCTTATCTGCCGCTCGTGGCTGCAGGACCAGAGCCAGAACTTTAAAGTCGATACAGCCGGGCGAAGACGTGCCTGAATGTCGGGAAGAGTTTTGGAAACATCCATCCTTCAAAGACTCAGATCTCACAAATCACTCACAGCAAATGATTTACCAAAAGCAAATACATCATGTTAAGTTTAACTGTCATGTATGTCAGATTTTAGAGAAAAAAAAATCCTTCGGTCTTTAACAGAGTTCGTACTGGATCAGTACTGAATGAGGTCAGAGATTGTACGCCTTGTTTTATGTTTTGTTTTGTTTTTTGTTGGAGAAACAAAATTTACATTTTTAAGTTTTTGAGAATAGCCAGTACTTTTCAGACAAAACAAATGTCTTTTTTCAAAGTTTTATGTTTTAGTGTGCGAATAAACTGTTTTTCCAAGTATTTCATCCGTTGGCTCATTTTTGTTTTTAGCATCATTACTGATAAACAGAAGTGTTTGCTGCTCCTTCAAATAATCAACGGAGTAATAAAAGAACTGTAAATGTCACCATGAAGAATAATGAACTTTTCCTGATTAGTCAATTAATTCAGTTTAGACGAGCTGAAATGTGCCATTTTGGGTCAAATGAGTAAAATTGCTCTCACAATCCTATTATTCTGAAAAGAAGTCATAAATTTGTTTTTGTAGTGTCCATCATGATTATTTTATATAAAAATACAGAATGGTATAAGCTCACCTAAAGATGGCACAAATATTTAGTTTTTACTATTCCTGAATCAATTTTATGAATAAAAATGAAACATTTTATTACATAGTTGATTTTGCAGCCTTTTATATAATTCCTCTTAACTATGTAGATTAAACAGTGATATTCCAACCTGTAATCTAAAAATAGATATATGTGGAACTAGAAACTGCAGCCCAATAACTTCCAGATCCAGTTGTTTATTGATTGATTTTACATTAAGTCTATTTATGGATATGATAGAAGGAAATATTTTATTTGTGGGTGAATGTGTACACATTTTGATGACTTGTTCTTCAGAATGGAGCAGCCTGTAAAGAGTTCCTTCTTCCTGCTTTCTTTTTAATCTGGGGCTGAAATTTTGACGAGCTTTGTTGGATGTCTGTGGATTAATAATCATTTGTAAACAAGATGAGTTCAACAGAGAAATTAAATAATCTACTGTAAGAATTCGTCTGCTGAAACTGAGGAATTAAAAGAACAAACTTTTTTAAAATCCCTTTAATTCTTGTTTTTTTGTATGTTTCTGTGACTGAGTGGATAAATAAAACAAATCAAAGCAGAAATAAACGAGACAAGCTCTGCATAAATCAAAGCTCTGGTTGGATTGAAATTCATATTTTATCAGCTGTGACACTTCTGCAAATAAAGAAGCGGATCAGCAGCAGCAGTCCCTGCTGGACCGACATGTGATGAACTCTGGTGTCAGCTTGTTCTGGTTCCTCTTCAGGGCTGTAACCTGACTTCCGCTGAAGAGGTCGCGCAAGGACTTCTGGAGGAGTTCACCCCCTGTGTGCGTGCGTGTGCGTGCGTGTGTGGCGTGAGACTTTCATTCACTGAAACGCAACACCCCCTCTCCTCGGTCTGAAGCCTCTTCGGAAACAGGTTTGATTGTATTTAAAAGCTTGACCCGGGAGAGAAACCCAAACAACTGTCTGAGCTAATATTAGCAGTGCGGCTGCCCACCACTATGGATTCTGTTATTGTCCGACGCTCGGATGTGTTCCTGAAGGCAACACTCTTCAGAACATTTGGACTTTTGTTTTCAGCTGGTGGGAAAAAATCAGTTTCAGCAAATGATCCTCTTAATGTGATCTTCTGTAGGCCTGCCACTTAATAAATTATTATTATTATTATTATTATTGTGTGAATGATGATTCAGCGATCACAGTGTTATTATTTTGTACATTTTTGCCATCTAACCACATCCTTTGTGTTATCTTAGCCATTCAGAGCCTAAATCAAAGCATTCAGGAGAAAGCCTGTTCTGACTTTTTAATTTTATTTTAGAAACTTTTCACATAAAAAAAAAAAAAAAAAAAAAAACATTTAACTTTATTTACAGATGTTCCACCATAAAAACACATGAATCTCTGAAGTTCCTTCATTTGAAATCAGAAAATGTGCTTCTGCTTGCAGGTAGCCTTTTATGACTTTGGTTTCTACTTTTTAATTATTTTAGCCAGCATTTGATGTTTTCTCTTGTTGCCTTTTGTTTATTTTAACCTAAAATCTAAAAAATAGTATTTAGTTACTTTTAGCTTCTAGCTAGCCCTTTGATACTTTTAGCAAGCCTTTTGTTTTTATGGCCTTAATCTAGCCTATTCCTACATTTACCTAGCCTTTTGCTACTTTTTCCTAGCCTTTACTTTTGGCTTCTATCTGTTTGCACTTTTAGCTAGTTTCTTGTTTTTATGGTTTTAAACTTTTGCTAATTTTACCTATAGCCTTTGGCTACTTTTACCTAACCTTTTGCTACTTTTGGCTTTTATTTGCACTTTTAGCTAACTTTTTGTTTTCTTAAACTTTTTACCATAGCTTTTTGCCACTTTTACCTAGCCTTTTGCTACTTTTACCTAGCCTTTTGCCACTTTTACCTAGCCTTTTGCTACTTTTACCTAGCCTTTTGCCACTTTTACCTAGCCTTTTGCCACTTTTACCTAGCCTTTTGCTACTTTTACCTAGCCTTTTGCTACTTTTGGCATGACACTTTTGCCATTTGCTCATTTTGGCGTAAAACTTTGTTTTAACTTTAACTAGTCTTTATAGCAAGAATTTAGCATTTTGAAGCTTTTAGCTATGCTTTACTTTACCGTGCTACTTTTTGCTTCTTAACGTTTTGTTGCTTCTGGCTTTAGCATTTTGCATCTTTTGACTTTTAGCTATAGTGTTTTGAATCTTTAGGCTTTTCTCTAATGTTTTGCTCCATTTAGCTAGTATTCTACTTCTTTTAGCTAAAGTTTAGCTACTTTTAGCTAGAGTATTGGTACATTTGTCTTTTCTGCTCTAAGCTTCAACAAACTTCAGGAAAGTCATTACTCAGCATTCATGTAGCAGAAAATGCCATTTATGTATCTAGTTATTATTACTAATATTAATATCAGTAGTAAACTGTAGCTTATTGATAATCTATAATAAAACTAATTTAAAAATAAAATGAAATAGCATGTTTTTCTCTTCTTTATCCTTCTTATTTTACAACCACGCTGTCTGATTTAGAGTTTGCGCGTTTTAAAGCAAATATTTGCGCGTTATTTCCTTCTGGCAGGAGAAAGTTGTGTCACCTGACTGCGATTGAGAGAACTTTGGTAAGGAGAAAAAAACCAGCACATATCCCCACCCCCACAGAAGAGGAGCCCGCCCACCAGAGACAGTCAACTCGAGACCCCTTATAGATTTAAAAAGAGGCTGCATGCTCAGACTGACACTTATTCAGCACCGCCACCTTAAGCAGATTACTGCAGCGCTGCCTGTCAGAGAGGAGCCTCACCGCCTTTCCATCATGTTTGGGATGCTCAGACGCCACCTTAACCCGGGCATATTTTTCTTCCTCTTATGGCTTTGTCTCCTCCTGGAACACCAGAAAGTTCAAGGTAAGCTCTTCATCCGTTTCTTTTCATTCTCTCTATTCCTCAAATGAAATAAAAACTTTGCTGTCAGTCTCCAAACGCGCGATTTTTTCCAGCCTGCTGTGAAACTTTTCAGAGTTGTCTTTTTGTGCCCGAGAGGTAAAGGACTCTTCTTGTCAGACGTTTGGAAAGCAGGTGTTTTAAAGTGACCCTTTAAAGTGTGAAATGGCAAGTTTTGCAGCGCGCACGCGTTAACAGGGGGGAAAGCCGCTGCGCCACGTTGGTGCCAAAGTGAGGTTTTTTTTTTTTTTGCAGCTTACATCTAAACATATTTATAGGCTTTTGTTTTATTATTATTATTTGTGAGCATTTTATTCTCCGTGGTGTACGTCCTATAACAAACTTCAGAGAGTTAATGAGTTTTATATTTATTTATTTTGCGCGCACACCCTTTCAGCGTTGTGCGCTAAACCTCCTTTATTTTTATTTTTATTTTCGTGTTGTTGTTGTTGTTGATTGTGGCAAACAAAGCACCACCACGGGATGCTTTTGTGCTCATTTTGTCCTGGGTTTATATTTCAAATCTGCCTTTAATATGAGAAGTTCGAGCGCGCAGTCTCACGCGCGTCCTGTGGCGTTTATGGCACAGACATAATAACGTTTCTGTTGTGGGTTTTTTGAAATGGGTTTCCACACTGTGTGCTGGTGGTGTCTGCTGGGTCCATGTCTGGGGTTTTGTGCTGAGGCGTTGGAGACGGTGCAGTGTTCAGTTGACTCTGGGTTTTCTCTTCACTGTCTAGACGTTTCAGAGGTACAAGGAATAAAAGACCCCCCCACCCACACACACACACACGTTCACATTTAGAAAAAAATCGTTTCACTTTTTTTTTGGTTTGTGGCCTCATTGTAAGGGCTGTCAGTCACAGTTGGAATAGGCAAGTGTTAACAGTCTTGCAAGAAAAAAGAAGAAGAAGAAAAAAAAAATCAGACAAAATATCGCCGGGTGGGCGAAGGAGGAGGGAGGGCGCGTCTGGATCAGCGGTCTGCGCCTCTCAGCCTGCGTTCTTCCAGTTTGTCATCATTCTAATTTGTTTCTGTTGATGCTGTTTACAGCTGGAAACTGCTGGTTGCAGCAGGGGAAGAACGGGAGGTGCCAGGTGCTCTACATGCCGGGGATGAGCAGAGAGGAGTGCTGCCGGAGTCAAAGGCTGGGGACGTCCTGGACGGAGGAGGACGTCCCCAACACCACGCTCTTCAGGTGGATGATCTTCAATGGGGGAGCGCCTAATTGCATACCTTGCAAAGGTGGAGGTGCAATCATTTCCTTTGATTTTCTCACAATAAACGCTTTTTTTCCCCTTCTTTGACATAAACAAAGCTGATGATCTTGACGCGCGGCAGCGTGCGTAAAATTCCCCGCCGCCACAAATCCTCTCCAGCCCCGCGTCATAACGCAGATCTTCTCTTTCAGAAAGCTGCGAGAACGTTGACTGTGGCCCCGGGAAGACGTGCAAGATCAACCGAAAGGGCAAACCGCGCTGCGTGTGCGCGCCAGACTGCTCCAACATCACCTGGAAGGGCCCCGTCTGCGGCACAGACGGCAAGACCTACAAAGACGAGTGCGCGCTCCTGAGGGCTAAATGCAAAACCAATCCCGACTTGGACGTGCAGTACCAGGGCAAATGCAAGAGTAAGTCAAATATTAAATCTCCTATCTCTTATTATTTTCTTTTATTCATATCTGTGCACTTTATTGCGTCTCCAGAAACGTGCCGTCAGGTCTTGTGCCCGGGAACCTCCAACTGCGTGGTTGACCAGACGAATAACGCGTATTGTGTGACGTGTAATCGGATTTGCCCCCCTGCTACATCGCCTGATTTGTACCTGTGTGGAAACGATGGGATCACCTATCAGAGTGCATGCCACCTGAGAAAGGCGACCTGTCTGCTCGGCAGGTCCATCGGGGTGGCGTACGACGGAAAATGCATCAGTAAGTCTGCAACCAGAGCGCGTGAGATTTAACACCCTGACAGAGCCTCTGTGGGTGCATTCTCTGCAGCAGTTCACTCTGCACTTTTTGTTGCCAACATTCCAGTTAGGAGGGGGTTTGTATAGGGAGAAAGAGAGAGGGGGTGTTTGGTTGTTGCTTGTGTTTGCTCAAGAAATGATAGACATCTTATTATTTCCTGATGTTGGCAACTCTATCTCACATGGGAGCGAGAGAAGGAGAAGGGAGGAAGGAAGGGGAGTGCTGGGGGCCGTGAGGACATGCTCCAAGTTCTAAATGGTTTCCTATCCAGATAGCCACCAATCCAAGTCTCAAAGTCTTAACAAAAAAAGTTTATTAAAGCATGATTCTCTGCAAGCCGTTAATGCAGCCTTTTCTGGTTTCCTCTACCCAGAGGCCAAGTCGTGTCAGGCCATCACATGCAGTGCAGGAAAGAAGTGTCTGTGGGACAATCGGACGGGCCGGGGCCGCTGCTCCGTCTGCGTGGATTCCTGTTCACAGAGCCGGTCGAGTGAGGCGGTGTGTGCCAGCAACAACACCACATATCCCAGTGAATGTGCCATGAAGCAAGCCGCCTGCTCTATGGGGGTGTTGCTGGAGGTCAAGCACTCTGGATCTTGCAATTGTAAGTAAAAAAATAAAAGAAAGCAAGAGAAAAAAGTATAATTGAAAAGAAACAAACACCCCCCTCCTCCCTCAACTTTTATCCAAACAAAAGACAATATCCCATGTTGCAACTAAAACCTCCCCTGAAAGTGCCCCCCGCACCCCCCACCATCCACCCTCATTCTCCCCAAGTTTCCCTTCCCTGCTCCATCTACAAGTTGCGGAAAGGACTTGGTAACAGAAGAACTTGCATGACTTTGTCTTTGTTGCTGGCTGTTGTTCTTGTGTTCTTCACATAAAAAAAAAAAAAAAAAAAAAAAAAAGGAAAACCAGTGAGAAGGAAAGACATTTGCTTCAAGTCTGGCGAGGGGAGTCAACCTTACTGAACAAACTCAAATCATAGAGGAGAATGAACTTGTTTGCTGTGGAACAATCCTATTTAACACTTAAGTTAGTCACCTGCAGGAGCAGGTCGCCTTAAATCTGGTGCTGTGTCTCATGATAAAAGTCACACATCTTCACAGCCAGGAACCCCCCCCCCCCCCCACGCTCCCACAATTTGATTATTTTAATCTATTTTTGTATGTGTTGGTTCATTTTGGTGGTAATCAATCAACTTGTGACGTGCAACTCCAAAATTGAACGTCGTTATAAAAACCCCTACGACAAAAGGTGATTGTAACATTGGGGCCAAGATGGTGGTAGCAGCTGATAAATAACTTTAATATTTATTAGGACAATCTTTTCTAAGACCCTTTAGATGCCCACAAATAGTTAAAGCTCCAATAAAATACACAACAATCTCAGAAAAGTATCAAACATATATTGCAGCTTTCAATTTAGGATGTTTCCATTTAATTTCTAATATCCAACTGGCCTAATAAGCTGCTTTTTAAGGCTGCAGTGAAATGGTGACCAATTTTACAAACACCTTATGAGCTAAATATATATATATAATCCGTTTTAACGTGTAACATAAGCTTGTAGAAATATGTCTCTTACATATCTTATTGTTTAAAAAAAGTTAACCTATATCAGGTAATTTCCATCCTATTTCTAGTAACTGTGTTATCAATAAGAATATGTATCAACAATCATAGATCCATATGGATTAATGAGGGACCTTTTTTTTTGTTTGTGTGTGTTTTCACTCCTGCGTTCGCTTGTGTGCTTTTATATTTAACGTGCTCAGTGTAAATCTGTGTAAAAAGGAAGAGAAAATACCTCAGAGCTGTGTTCAGGATGTCTGACCCGCTTGCCAAGGCTGGGCTGTGACACAGTGCCCCCCCCCCCCCCCCCCCCCCCCCCCCCCCGCCCCCCTTGGAGATTTGAGCCAGGAGCTAACATAATAAGAGAGGAGGAAAAAAAAAAAGCAACTCACAAATCAGAGAACACAAGAGCATTCGTCTGTGTTGTGTGTGTTTGCTTTCAGGAGTCCCGAGCCACTGGAACCATCAGCTCCCAGTGTCCTTATATCCACCTCCCAGCCCTCGTAACCCACCCTGTGACACCCCCACCCCCACCCCACCCAACCATCTACTCCTACTGTCCATCATCCCTTGTTTTTCTCATGTTGTGGCGCTGCTAGAGTAAATAAATGGACTTTGGATAATTGGCGATGCCGCAGCGATTGTTGCAACACACAATCGTACTGCACACACAGGCACGATGAGATAAAGAAATGAATAGGAAGAAAAAGGAGCCGCTTTAGTTGTGAGCTTTTATTTTGATATTCAGTGATATTCTGAGCTGTTGTGGTCCATATTCATACAACAGCTACCATATATTCTCCCATATAGCCATCACAGAAGACCAGGAGGACGATGAAGAAGATGAGGACTCAGACTACAAGGGCTTTGTCCATTTGTCTTCTGAACTGGATGGATAGGCTCCCATCATTAGTTCTAGGGCAAGAAATCATGTCCATACTGTACATTATGTGTATGCTTATTTATTTTTTAAAAGGAAAGGAAGTATACATATAGTTCAGTCTGCTAGATGTTTATTTATACATTTTTTTTTGTCTTTTATAATTTATACATTTACGTTGTCAGGTTTTCATCTTCCATGATATATTGTGTTACCACTTCTTTTCCCATTTTTGTTTTATTTCATTTACTTTATTCCTTCTTTTTTTTTTTTTTTTTACCATGAAGAATTATATCTGTCCAAAGAAAAAACAGTGGAAAAACAGTGTTATTTATTTGTCATATTACCGTGTAAGTATAAATCATCTACAAGCTGTAAATTGCATTCCCTGAGCTGTAAAAAATCTGCTTCTTTCTGTCAAATCTCTATCACAGATGTTTATGTCACACATACGTAAATGCATGTTTAAACTGTGTGTTTATTTATTGGGTATATATATCTCAGTCATTTTATGTACAGACGTGTTTCTGGTTTGTTTACAGCTATAATACCTGACCAAAGCGGTTCTCTCAATGGTTTTTGCAAATGAGCATTGTGAATTGTGCAACCCAGCAGTGACGAAATGGAAAAGAAAAAAGAGAGCCATTTGTTTTTCTTTTCTCATTCTCTCTCTTTTCTCATTTCCTTTGTTGATTTTAACTCTTTAGATTTGTTTCCACCTGGAAGCAGCAATTTTTTTTTACATGATTCCATGGCATTTGCTTTGTCTCACCACATTGACGCGGAGGTAAATTTTGTACAATACTTGATTTTTTCTGAAAATGATGTGCCATTAACGTTTGTGAACAGTTTTCTTGCCAATGTGCTCCGTATTGCTCTCACAGAGCTCCAGTAGGAATAATGTACTGCAGTACTTTATGATATCACACTTCTTCAACTTGTTTTTCTGTCCTTTTTTTGGTTAGATGCATTTTTTTTTCAAGCGTCACCAGAGAAATACAAAATTCTGTTATGAATATATAGTTTTGTATTTTTATGTAAATGTCATATGTACATACAAAGTTTGATGGTATTTGTACAGACATGAAGAGTGAAACAATAAAAGTTTTTTTTTCCTTATACAAGTTTTTGTCAGTTTATTGTTTATTCGTTATCAGTTTGCCCTGTAAACACAATGAAGTGTCCTAGTTTGTTAAATTTATAGAAAAACAGTTCTAAGTAAAAACTTAAATAAATATGATTTAAAATGTCATAAATCCCCAAAATTCAGAAAGACAAAGTAATTTAGTAATTATTTTATACTTCAAATTTCATTTTGTTAATCTCTTGGGATTTATTGACAAATGCTACATAAGTAAATTAATAAACTATTTTTTTAAATTCTGAGTACCATTAAAAAGGTTTTTCCATCAATGGGTTTTTACTACAAAATATATAGTCAGATAAACATTTGTGTCAACTCTTGAAACTGTGCAGTCAACCTACTTCACATATGGGGAGCAATATTATAGGCAGAAACATGGGTGTGCTATGGGGTCTCCAGTTTCTCCTATTGTTGCCAACCTGTACATGGAGGAGGTAGAAAAGAGAGCCTTGACGTCCTTTTCAGGGACACCACCAAGTCATTGGTTCAGGTATGTTGATGACACCTGGGTTAAAATTAAATCTCAGGAAGTCCAAAATTTCACTGATCACATCAACCAGTATTTGCAGTTTGACTTCCATCACCCTTTGGAGCACAAGTTAGGAGTCATCAGGACTCTGTACCACAGAGCAGACAGCTTCCCCACTAGCTCAGGAGCCAGGGAGAAGGAGAAATCCCACACAAGACAGGCTCTAGAGCAATGTGGATATCCTAACTGGGCCTTCCTAAAAGCAGAGAAGAAACCCAAACAGGACTCCAGTCAGCCAACAGGTGAAAAGGAGGAACCCAGACCCAGACCAGTGGTCATTCCATATGTTGAGGGAGTATCAGAGAAACTGAGACGTTTATTTTCTAAACATAACGTCCCAGTGGCTTTTAAACCTCAAAATACATTACGGCAAAGACTGGTTCATCCCAAAGATCCAGTCCCCCGGCACAAACAGAGCAATGTTGTGTATGCTGTTCAGTGTCAGGAGGGCTGTGATCAGTCTTACATTGGGGAAACAAAACAGCCACTGGCCAAAAGGATGGCCCAGCACAGAAGATCAACATCATCAGGCCAGGATTCTGCGGTCTACACTCATCTCCAGGCCAGCGGTCACTCTTTCAGGGATGAAGATGTTCACATCCTGGACAGAGAGGAACGATGGTTTGAGAGAGGAGTAAAGGAGGCCATCTTTGTGAAAAGAAATCGTCCATCATTAAACAGGGGTGGAGGCCTCCAGGTTCAACTGTCCCCCTCTTACAATGCTGTGATTGCTAGT